CCACCCTTCAATCTACTGATCTGATTCTCTAATGGGAAGGCAGGCTTCTACCCCTTAACAAGCTCCCTGGGCAATTCTTTCGCACTGTGAATTATGAAAACCCCCTCCCAAGAGCCTTTTGTCCTGGTTTCTAAGCAGCCACCAAGGCTTCAGAACGAGGCCAGGAAATCGGGGTAGAGGTTAACCTTGTCTCACCTTTTGATCAGATAAAAGAGCTGGATAAATAGGATAAAAGCATACGAGGGAGGAGGAACCACTCATGGGAAGATGAGAAAATCACATTTGCAACAAGGACATGTTCAAAGAGCTCGCTGTGAAGGGAGGCAGCCCCACCTCACAATGGTAAGGGCTCCTGAGAGGCAGGCCCACTGATTCTGAACATACCTCAGGCCAGGGACTTGGCAAGCCGCTGCCACTGGCTTCTTTAACACGTAATTTCTTTAAGGCCTTCCTGCATGAAGATTTCAAGCTAGAACATTGGCTAGAATGCACAGGGCTGTGTAGTATTGATAATGTGTATGGGCCACATGGAGTCCAACATCTGTTATATCTTCTGTGAATCATCCTACATAGGAAGACAATGGCAGGGGATCTTGACATGTCACCAATCAGTTAGAAAAGTGGTAAAACCTAAGGGGGGAAGGCTTTAAGAATAATTAATAGAACATATAACCCCCATGGATGTAACATATCCATGTTAACCCTCAAATGATGGTTGTTCGTTGTTAGAATTTTCTCCCTGGGAAAGACGTGAACAACATCTACCCTCTCATTCTAAGGTCTCAGTGACAAATCAAAGTTTGATTCCACAAGTTCACCCCAGGGAGCCAATGCATTTATTGGGCCTACCTAAAGAGCATGGGAGTGTGGGTGACCCCAAAGCAGTTATACTGGAAAGTCTTCAACCAGTGTGAACAACAGGTTCCCTTAGCCACATAGGTGGAGCCCCTTCAATTAACCTCTTCCAGCCTGAGGCCATGTGCAATTAGAACAGAATTGTATCCAATTGGCTAGAGGAGTGGCTAAATACTCAGGTGTGAGTCTTTGGACACTCATAACCTCCTCCATCTGTGAGGGAATTACCATACTCCACAGGCCCAGCTGTGGGGAATTCGGTCACAAGTAAACACAGCTGTTCTGATGAAAATGGCAGCTGTTTTACTGGGTGGACACAACTGTACGACATGGTTTAAATAGACACAGTTTTCCAGAGGGCAGTTTGCAAATGTGTACCTAATGTTCATATTCTTGAATACTGAGATATTTTTATTCTTAGAGGTTTATACTGTGGACTGAGTTGTTCACACAGAGAGTGAGTAAAGCATGTACCATGTGTCCACATGTGTCCAGTACTAGCTAATTAATACTAGTTAAATAAGTCAGTGTCTCTGTCAGTCAGGGTTCTCTGGACAAACAGAACTGATAGGATGAATGTATAGTGTAAAGGGAGAGTCAATGGATTGGCTTGCTAACGGGTAGCTCAACAGTGGCCATCTGCTCACTGAGAACCTGGTAGCTACTCAGGCTGTGAAGCAGCTAGATGTCTTAGCAATTCCAGTGCGGTGCTGATGGTCTGGAGGATTCCTGGAGAGTCACTGGTCTTCAGTCCATGTTGGCAGGCTGAAGAAGTCTGAAGGTAGAGAAGGAGGATGGCTTCAGCAGCAACAGGGAGATATTTCTTCACCAGTAAGAGGCAAAGCTAGGGCTGGTGAGATGGCTCAGGAAGACCACTTGTTGCACAAGCCTGATGATATAACCCAATACCTGGAACCCACGTCAGACAATCCAGGGCTGGCACGATGGCTCGGTGGGTAAAGCCATCAGCCATGAAACCTGATGACCTGAGTTCAATCCCTGGGTCTTACACAGTAGACCTCAAGTTGCCCTCTGATCTACAAATGCACACACACTCACTTACATGCTCACACACTCAAACACATTCACACACTCAAACACACTCACAAATGTTCACACTCTCACACACACTCACATATACTCACACACACTCACACACTCTCATACACACTCACACACTCTCATACACACACACGAAATTTAAAAGTTTTTTAAGGAAACGAAGAGTCAGACAAGCAGCATTGCCTTTTCCTCAGATCTCGTTTGTATCTGGGTCACCTGGAGGTGTTGCCCCCTCTGAGGGAGGGTCTTCTCCCCTCAGCTAATTCTTTCTGGAGCTGTCCACACAGACTCACACACAGGTGTGCCTCTTAATTCCAAATCCCAACAGGTTGACAATCAACCATCAGTTGATGATCAGCCATCACTGTTGCTCTGTGCTTATCAAAGCAAGTACATCTCCAGATGAAAAGACAAAACACTCAAGATACTTCTTAAACCCAGAATAGCCACCTCCAAGAGCCTGGCACACTAGAAGATGGGTTTCTTTTTGATGAGATAGGAAGCGGAAGCCCCTGGCTAAAAAAGCTCACAACATCCAGGGGGTGGACAGAAAACTAGCGGGAACTGGTTGGAGATGTGGACTCTTTGCTTTCCTCCAGCCCAGAGGGTGGCTGAGTGGAGAAGCAGGTGAGAACTGGGCAGGGGTTGTTATGAATTGGCACCACAGGCCTCCCTCCATTCCCAGAGTTAGTCAAAGCTAAGCGGAACCCGGACATCACTGGGGTAGAGGAAGATGTGGAGACTGATGTACATTTGGCTGAGTTTGTCTGAAAGATCAGGGAGATGGGGAGAGTTGGAAAATGAGTCACTGAAGGACAGTGCTTAACTCTGGGTGAGGAGGGATTTATTTACCTGAGGGGCAGATAGAGGTCTCAAAGAATCAGCGCTGTTTCCCATCTCAAGTTAGATGACACCTACTTGCTATATTATTTTTCATTCTTCTCGGTCTAGATGGTTCTACAATACATTTAAAAGGGCATGTGTTATCCTGCTGTGCCAGAGAGATAAGCTGTGTGGGACCGTGGTATTTCGGCCTCAAGTGATATATGTGAGAACTATGAAGAGGATAATTTTTTGTGGTTTTTTTTTCCGTATGAAATGAAAACAAAAGTTTAAATGTTAACTAAACAGAAGTCCTGCAGCAACAGGGAGCTAAGTGATGCCAGGCCATCTGTAAACACTGGCCGGAAGCAGGCAACGGGCTGTTTTCTGTCATGAGGCTGCAGAGA